GTTTATACGGAAGATCATCATGTGATCACGTGAATTTCAGCATCATCCGATTTCAGCATCATCCCCGACAATAAATATGATGTTGATGCATCTGATAAGACTTCTAATCAAAAAACAAAAGTCGATGTTATCCGTGGTGGTAGTAATATCAGAAGTTGGATTTGGCTGTACTTTGATCCAGTGTATATTGATAATGTAAGACATGCGGTTTGTAAGGTCGAGAAAGTAAAGGGAAAAAAATGTGGTACAAAATACAAGGTCAACACGTCAACGAGTAACTGCTCTTCTCATCTCTCAAGCGCTCATGGTATAACTGAAGACCAAGGTAAAAATATAAATAATACAGAGTTAGTTATTATACCCCATAATGAGCCACGTCAGATTCAATTATGCCAATATCTTGCGGACTGGATCATAACCGATTCCCAACCACTCATCGTTCTTGAAAATCCGGCTTTTAAAAAATTTATAAACGAGTTAGATCCAAAGTTCAAAATTCCATGCATTAAATCTATAAAGAAACTTGTACATATTGCATATAATCACTCGTTCAAGTTAATAATGGAAAAAGTAAAAAATGATTCAATTTCTATATCATTAACGTGTGATTTATGGACTGGTAAAAACCGGCAAGGGTTTTTAGGCATAACATGTTCGTATCTTGATCGTAACTTTCTATTTCATGAGATCACACTTTCCATTGAGCACATCCGCCATCCTCATACTGCTGAAAATATCAGTGATAATATTCTTTCTTTGTTGGACGAATTAGAATTACGTGATAAGGTTTTCACAGTGACAACAGATAATGGTAAGAACATGCAAAAGGCTGTTAAGGATTTAAAACAAACAATAGAAAAACATATCATGGCAACCGTGCGCAGCACATACCCTTCAGTTAGTAATCGGGAAAGGATTGGAAAATGATGCCGATGATCGTAAAAGCACACTACTTTCTCTTGAAAAGATTGTTCCGTATTTATATTAGTTTTTTTTAATAAGAAAAATATTTTTTATGTTTTAGTTGTAAAGTATAAACTATGATTAAAATTTTCTTTTTAAACCTTCATCTAAGATTTAATTGTATGATATGTACTGTATAATTATAAGATTTTCTTTCTAAGCATTCATCAAAGATTTGTTTTAAGTTTAATTGTATGATATGTATGATAATGATTAAAATATTCAAAATATAAGAACAATTACAATACTTTAAAAAATTTAAATAGCTCTTTATAAATAAAAACTACCAAGGGTAAATGTTATCTAAAATATTATAATTTCTTTTTAAAAATACTAATCTTTTAAAGAATTCGGGACTCATGCGAGTTCTCTTGGATCCAATTAAGTTACCACAATCTGAGGATAATCGTTCAGAAGGTGTAGATGTAGCTGAAACCGAGAGGTAAACACATGCTAACTTGCTGATAACTGGAAATCTTTCCTTATTCATATTCCACCACGCGAAGGGATCTGATTCAAAAGGTATTTGTGGAACCGCAAGGTATTCATCTAATTCACTTTGTAAATTAAGAGGCGAAGGATTGTTAAAGATATTCAAAAGTGTTGGCTTATAAAAAGGAGAAACAGTAGTGTTATGAAAATAAGAAGTGAATGAAGTATTAATAGTAGATATCGGAGTTGTTGAACTATCACGTGTTTCATTATATTTGATTCTTAATAATTCCTGAACCTGCTTAAATTTTTCAGGCGCGAAATCAAACTTTTTAACACGAGGGTCGAGAATAGAAGATAAATAGGATTCGGTATTATCTTTTTTCCAGTAAAAACGCATGGCTCGGTACAACGTTTCCTTTACTTTTTCTAAAACTCCAGATGTTTGCATGGGTTTATCCAAATCTATCTTTTTTGGTAAATCACCATCATCATCATAAATTTCAAGTTCCGCAAAAATATCTTTTATACTTTCAATATTTATTTCCTCTGGTGATATTGATACGGGTTTGAGCATGTCAATGATGTGTATCATTATAGGATTCATCGTGCTATATGTAACATATTTGCTACCACCAAGGTATCTAGTCACCTCCTCAAAAGGGCCCAAAATCGGAATCAAATTACGAAGTAAATCCCACTCATCCTTTGTCAACATTATCTTTGTTAGATGTTGTGAATCTTTATTAGAATCATGATTTTTATCCTTGGCTAATTCAACTTCTAACACACGAATAAACGTTTCCAATTCCAGGAGACGGCCCCACACCAGATAACTGGAGTTTCAGCGAGTTGGCACGTCTGCAATCACGTGTCTCAAATATGTCGAAGTCTTCTTAGCATTCTAAATGATACTAGTTATTAATTTATATATCAGATACATAAAAAAAAAATCAAAATAGACATACGATAGATCGTTCCTTAAAAAATGAAAAATAAATATTTAATAATTCTAAATATAAATAGATAAACAAATATAAAAAACTTTAAACCTCATTTGATCTTGCATATCGTTTCTGTATATCCTCCAGGCGCTCTGATTGCTTTGGTCTTAAAAAGAAATCAATCATGCGTTTGGCACGGCCAACCAGAATCTTAACAGGTTCCAATCCTTTCCCGATTACTAACTGAAGGGTATGTGC